TAGCCCACGTCTATACACTATTTTACGTAAAATAATTTCGGAACATTGTAGTTGACCCAGACCCATTAACAGGCCAGCTATAGGTCCCTTGGAAAGCTCAACTCTTCGGCCATGATAATCGAAACGTATGGATACATCTGGGGTGAAAATGACTTCTCGGAAATATATGGGAGCATTATTCACTTCCGGCGAGGCTGACATCACACTATTGTCCGATTTAATGGAACGGCTGTCGGCACATTCTTGTTCATCGATTAATAGAGAAATGTTTTCATTAACAATACGACGAGCTCTTAGATCATTTACAGCATCGGAATTTCTTGTTCATCTTCACTGATTGTCATAATGGGAACTTCTGGTTTAGCTACGGCAAGTTTAGTCGGTTTGCCTTCATCTGTTGGCTTGTCAGCAGAGTTGTCCTTGTCACAGGCTTTACCGAAATTAGTGAAAAAGTCTGTTAAAAATTCCAGAGTATCTTGATCGATGTGAACACGCAACGGACAGAGCGAGATGCGCAACGAACATTCTTGATTATTACTTTGCTGGGGATTGGGTCGTACGTGGATAGCTTTAACCAATACCATGTGTTGATTCCTACGATTGCTAAAACTTTTCGTATTGGCATTGTAGAGAAACTTGTTGATTTCGGAACTCTGCAAACGATCACGTATTTCGATTTCATTGACCATCAGCACTTGCCTAGAGGCATACATAGTGTGGCGGGGATATACTTCATAGGAAAATCTCACTTTAGTAAATTGCATTTCCACCAAGACTTCATGATTACGTGTGCTGCCTCCCACCGATTTCCAGGTGAGTTTTCTTTAGGTTTCTTCACCTGTGGCAGGCGAGACGATTCGTTGGCATAGAACACACCCTGGCGATAGGTATCTGACATGGCAGTTTTATTTGCACTTGTTTCTCCTCCTGTGGCTGCTGATGCTGTTGTAGCGGGTGTTTTTCCTCCAACAGAAGAGGGAAGAGGTGGAAAAATCATGACCACCATACAAATGCCAAGTAAACGTCATTTCGCAGAGAGTATAACGTTGTTCGGGCATGGGAAAATTTGTGGGAGTTCGCAGTAGATCATTACTGGAAGACGAGGGTAGACAGAAATGATTATCAACAATCATTAAAGGATCATCGGATACCTCAACAGAACCGCTAGCTAATTTAGTATTCACAAAAGCATGTTCTTCCTCGGCTATTATACAGTAGTCTTCCTCATTGGAGGAGCCATTGTGGAGTTCCTCGAACAAGGCGTTATCCTCCTCTGTTATCTCGCCAAATTCCGCTCTTATAATAGGTAAAGTTTCCAGGGTATCTTTACTGCTGCTGGCAGTATTTAATGTAGATTTTTCCATTGTTTCTGTGGTGACATTTGCCTCCTGTTTAATCAGATGTTTATTGTTTTCATCAGGGAAATAAAACAATTTAAGTTCATCTTTTCCTCTTATTGGTTCTTCTTCCTCTATGGTCTCTAAAGTACAGCTTTCTTCCGGCGACTCTTGCACCGCTTCAGCCATTAGTATATTAACACGTTCTTGCTGTTTTTTGGTAATCTCTTTCGTCAGCTGCTGCTCGGTTTGTGATAAAAAGAAATCTGACTCCGAACTTAAAGAAGACTGCAAAGATTGCTCTTTAAGATTTGTTTGTTCATTAGAGGGATTCGTATTATTGGCCATATAGCCAATGAGTTGAGCAAAGGCACTGCCCGAATCATAACAAGTGCGAAAATGTACATCGTGAATGGAACATCTCAAATCAAAAGTAGGACATTTATCAGAATCATCATCATTTAAACGCAATGAAATATCCAGCAAACCCACATCCAAAACCGGCACAAGATTTTTGGCATCTATAAATGACACCTTATAACAGGGATATTTCTTGTGTAATGATTCCTCATAGGGCGCCAATGACAAAACACATTCTTCCAATACAAAACGTAAATTACAGCAGGGCATGGAGGGTATTATGTTGCTGCAGACGGAGAAATAAAACAACTCCAAAACGGCACGATAAGAGAAATTCTCGGGACGAAAATCTATGGCACAATCCCACAAGTGTAGCTGCATTTCCGACAAAACACTGAACGCTTTATAGCCCTCTATGGGATAGTCTACCACATCTAGAAAATCGATTAATTGGTTTAGCCAATACAAAGATGGGCTGGCAGGATTATAACGCAAAGTAGCGTAATGTATGCCGGCCGTTATCTTAAGCCTTTTGATTCTTTGTTGAGGATTCTTTTTCATTTCTATGACTATGGCAAACATGTCATTGTCTTGCTCTGGTACGACTATACCTTTAGTTAAGCCCTGGGGTATTTTGTAAAGAGTAGACTGCATAAAATCTTCAACTTGAGCCTGATGATCAAATCTCAAGGGGGTATTCATGGGCACTATGCCGCAATGATAGATTTCACCGCTATTTATTTGTGTGCACAAATAGGAAAGATTTATATCGCTTTTAAAACCAGCCACCAAGAATATTTTTACTTTTTCCACATTAAGCAGGAATTTGCCGCATACTTGAGGCAGAACATGTTTATCATTATCACGCACTGGCACAAAACAGGAACCAGAAACTTTGCCCAGTAATATTTCCACCGAACAATTGTGTTGTGACATTTTGGCCATAAATGTTTGGGGCGGCTGCTGTTGTATGCCCGAAATACCATCATCGTCCTCATCTATTTCCAAATCTTCTTCCTGCTCTTGGTTATCATCACTTTGATCGCTTTGCTCAAAAACTAAGGGAGGCTTACTGCTGCTAAGACTTTGAGTTGCTGTTGCATAAGACTCATCATTTTGTGCTATGGCTGAGATATAAACGGAATCCATTAAACCCATATTTAAAAGACTTTGACCCATTTGTTGTTGCGAGTCCATAGCTGAAGATTTTGTTATGTAAGGACAGGAAGGCTCCCACATAAAAAGATCAGCATTAAGTCGATTGTAAATAACCTCATATAGTTGCTTGGATTCTATTATAAAATCAACATGAGGAAAATTTAATTTCACTTGTATTTCCGAATTGGCCATGGTAGTTTCACAGAATTCATCAATTTCGTGTTTTTCTCCCGGCAGCAAAATGTTTTCCGTTAAATCATTTTCCATTTTGTTGTTATAAGCCGATGTGCTGCTTTGCCGACAATGTCTTTTCGAACTAAAGGGGAGTTTAGTTTCGCTATTGGTTTCTAACGAAGCAAAGTTTCTTTCAGCAAAGTCTACAAAAATACTAGGATAATTTTCCATTAGTGGCTTGTTTATTTGTTTATCATAAGTAGCGGTTAGTAAATGATTTTGTAGGTCATCCGTTTCCGCATAGAATATTTCAATTTGTGAGCCATACAATTTTAATCTGCTTTCACATAGGATTACTTTTAATTCGGTAAAACGTAACAGAAGATAATCAGAACGTATATTTTGTTTCCACCAGGGTACACGTAGAGGATCATGTAAGGGTCTTAAGTCGACAATGGGAAAACGTAGTTTCAAATCTAGCAAAGCACAGTTGATGGTTAGTTCGGTTCTGTTACCAGCATTT